CACGGCGTCGTCGTCGACGTCCACTCGTTTTCGTTGCTTGTCATTTGTTTACTTTGGTTGCTATGCTAGCTCGTGACGCGGGGTCACTTAAATACTTGCTTAGATGCATTTGTGCTATGTGCATATTCAGGGCCCACTTTACTTACTGCAACCAAAGACGCCAACATTGTTAACCTGCTATGTTTTGTTCCGCGACTTTGTCCCACTATTGTCGGCGACTCAAAGAATAAACCTCCGCGCACTGCTGAAAGGACAAATCAGCTGCTCCGCGAGTCAGTTCGTATGGACATCGTTTTAGCACTGACAGCACCAAACGATGACGAGCAGAATGAGATTCGGCCAGTGACGGAAAGAGGGGGTCTTGCTGATCCATCTCCGCCAACTGCAACAGAACCTACATTGTATGTCCAAATCGGGCTCCATTGAGCGAATGCCTTCACAAAGCCATCCCAAAAGCAGGTTCTCGTATGGTTTCTTGTACAACATATGTCGCAAATCATCGGACAGCCTAGGGAGACGTTCCGTAACGACAGCAAAGCCAGTCACAGGGCTGTTTGCTGCTTGAGCGGTATTACCGTAATTGGCGCCGCGGTTTAGTGCTTGATGAAGGAACTATTAGATGGATCTAAGAATCGTTTCTAGAAGACGGCACTTGACAAGCACCGATCGACCGATCCCAGTCCGCCACGGCCCCTCTCTTCCACCTCTCTTGTCCTCTCCAACAATAGAGCGGAATTGGGCCGAGGCCCTCTGTCGTCATTCTAGGGAGAATTGCCCCGGCTTACGACATACAAAGCGCGGTCTTCTGTTCAAGTTGTCGCCGACTCTCCCTCTTGGCGACAGCTATGGATGTGAGGCTGGGCCGACCGTGCAGTCGTTTCTTTTTTTCTTTTTCTTTTTTTTTTTTTGTCCCCGTAGAAGAATGAAATACAAGGCCGAGAATATATAAAAAGCGAGGGTACTCTCGACACCACGAGGATAATGTGTGTCTACTGTTCTTATATCACACATCGATCATTGACTTAAACATTCACGGCGTCGTTCCAGGAGAGAGCGGCAAAGATTCAGCATCCAACATCAATCTTGATGGACAGCTTCACAACCCTTCCCCCGCAATGACGGAACAAATTCCTGGCCCGGCAGGCTGGCCGTTCATTGGCAACCTGCTCGACGTCCAGGGCGAGGTGCCCATTCAAGCGATCGAGCACATCGCCGACATCTACGGGCCCATCATCAAGCTGTCCCTCGCCGGCAACGAGCGTCTGTTTGTGGGCGGATTCGACATTTTCGACGAGCTCTGCGACGAGACGCGGTTCTACAAATTGCCGCCGCCCGCCCTCACACAGAATGCGCGGCCCGGGGCCCGGGGCCTCTTTACATCGCCGTCCGAGAAGGACGCCGACTGGGGCCAGGCACACCGCATCCTGATGCCGGCCTTTGGGCCACTGGCCATCCAAAACATGTTTGACGAAATGTACGACATCGCCACGCAGATGGTCATGAAGTGGGCGCGCCTCGGCCCAGAGCCGCGGGTGCTGCTCACCGAAGACTTTACGCGCCTGACGCTCGACACCATCGCCCTCTGCGCCATGGACTACCGCTTCAACTCGTTCTACTCGGACACCGTGCACCCGTACGTGCAGGCCATGACCAACACGCTGGCCGCCCGCAGCCAGTCCGGCCAGATCGGCCAGAAAATCAAAATGCTGCTGCAGCCATCGTATGCGGCCTCGCTCAAGGCCGACGTCGCCTACATGGGTACGGTGGGCCGCGACCTGGTGCAGCACCGGCGCGACAACCCGACAGACAAAAAGGACCTGCTCAACAATATGGTCCACGGCAGAGACCCCAAAACGGGCGAGTCGATGCGGGACGAGCTGATTGCCGCAAATATGCAGACGTTTCTGGTGGCCGGTGGGTCGTTCCTTCCGTTGTCATTTCTTCATTTCGTTCTTGGTTCCTTCCTCTGACTGTCGCAGGACACGAAACGACGTCGGGCCTGCTCTCGTTCGCCTTCATGTACCTCCTCCTCAACCCGACAACCTTCTTCGCCGCACAACAGGAGGTCGACCGCGTCCTCGGCACCCGCCGCATCGAGCCGCATGTCCTCAACGAGCTGCCCTACCTCAATGCCGTGCTGCGGGAGACGCTCCGTCTGTCGCCCACAGCGCCCGGCTTTGCCCGTGGCGTGCGCCCCGAAAACAAGGAGGAGCACGTCACCGTCGCTGGTGGGAAATACGAGATCCCCCGGGGCGCCCCGGTGCTCTGTCTTCTGGGCAAAATCCAGCGCGACCCCAAGGTCTGGGGCGACGACGCCGACCAGTTCCGCCCCGAGCGCATGCTCGACGAGAACTTTGCCAAGCTGCCCAAGAACGCGTGGAAACCTTTTGGCACGGGTCTGCGGGCGTGCATTGGCCGTGCGTTTGCGTGGCAGGAGGCACTGCTCGTGACGGCGCTGCTGCTACAAAACTTTACCATTTCGCTCGCCGACCCCAACTACCAGATGCAGGTCCAGCAGACGCTGACCATCAAGCCGAAGAACACCTACGTGCATGTCAAGCTGCGGCAGGGCATCGACGCAACACAGCTGCTGCAACGTCTCACAGGACGCCCAGCCGCGCCGCCCAGATCCGTCAACGGCCCTTCGTCTGCCCAAGCGACGAACGGCATCAACGGCACCAACGGCACCATAGACGGAGCGACCACAGCCGACGGCCCGACGCTGGCCATCTTGTACGGCTCCAACACTGGCACCTGCCAGTCGCTTGCGCAGTCTCTTGCTGTCGAGGCCGGCCAACGCGGCTACAGGGCAACGGTCCACGACCTCGACTCCGCCGTCGAGCACGTACCCAAGGGACCCAACACGACCGTTGTGATCATCACCGCTTCGTACGAGGGCCAGCCGCCGGACAATGCCGCCCGCTTCTTTGCGTGGCTGGAGCGTGTCGAGGCCAAGGACGCCTTGGACGGCGCCCGCTTTGCCGTCTTTGGCTGTGGCCACGTCGACTGGGCCTCGACCTACCAGCGGATCCCGACACGCATCGATGCGCTGCTGGAAGAAAATGGCGCCACACGGGTGGCCGAGCGCGGCGCGTCGGATGCCTCCCAGCGCGACATGTTTGGCGATTTTGCCAAGTGGACGGACAACGTGCTGTGGAAAGCCTTGCCCAGTGCCGAGGACGCAGCCACCGCCATGGGCGACAAAAAGGTGCACATCCCCACGATGGACATGGACGTCTCGACCGAGCAGCGCGAGACACACTTGCAGCAAAAGCTCTTCTGGGCCAAGGTCACGGCCGCCCGGAGCCTTACGGCACCCGGCCAGCCCGAGAAGCGCCATATTGAGTTTCAACTGCCATCCGACATGACCTACCAGACAGGCGACTACCTCGCCGTGCTGCCTCTCAACCCGGATGACGTCGTGCGCCGCGTGATCCAACGCTTCCGCCAGCCCTGGGACGCCGTCGTCACTATCAAACGCGGCGCGCCCACAACGCTACCAACAGACACGCCCATTGCGCTGGCCGAGCTGCTGCGCGGATACGTCGAGCTGGCACTGCCGGCGACTCGCAAAGACATTGAGGTGCTGCTCGAGCTCGCCAAGCACGGCGAAGGTGTCGATGCCCGTACCGAGGCAAACAAGCTGGCCGCCCTGCTCGACGACCCGTCCGCCTTTGGCACCACTGTGATCGAGCACCGCACCAGTCTTCTGGACCTGCTTGAGCAGAACCCCAGCATCGGCCTCCCGCTCGCCAGTTTCTTGGCCATGCTGCCGCCCCTGCGGGCCCGTCACTACTCGATTGCCTCGTCGCCGCTGGCGAGCCCAGACTCGTGTGCCCTTTGCTACAGCGTCATTGACGAGCCGACGTGGGTGGCAAACGCCCACGGCCGTGGTGCTTCCCCAGACAAGGCGGCGACGCCCCCCCGCATGTTTCGCGGTGTCACGGGCACCTACCTCAAGTCCTTGCAGCCCGGCGACCAGGCCCTCGTCGCCGTCCGCGCCACCAACCATGTCTTCCGCCTCCCAGCCGACCGGGAAACCACTCCTCTCCTCATGTTCTGTGCCGGCTCCGGCTTCGCGCCCTTCCGCGGCTTCTTGCAGGAACGCGCCGTCCAGATCCGCGACGGCAACCGGTCTTTGGCGCCTGCCGTCCTCTTTGTCGGCTGCCGCCGCCCGGACGCCGACCGCCTCTACGCCGACGAGGTCGACGCCTGGGTCCGCGACGGCGTCGTCGACGTGCGCTACGCTTTCTCCCAGGCGCCCACGGACCCGCGCGCCGCCGGCTGCCGCTACGTGCCGGAACGCCTGCTGCACGACAAGGACATTGTCGTCGCCCAGTGGAAAGCCGGCGCCAAGGTGTACACCTGCGGCAGCGGCCAGGTGGCCAAGGACCTGGGCGCCGCGGCGCGCAAGCTGATTGTGGAGCGGGCGCGCGAGGGGGTTGCGGCAGGCGAGGAGGGGGTGGTTGGGATGACGGAAGAAGACGCAGCGGCGTGGATGCAGCAGCGACACAACGAGCGGTTTGTGACGGATGTCTTTACTTGAGCGGTGGCGACGGAAAGGACTCTGTATGTTGGCGCGGATTTTTGGTGGGTTTTGTCGGGTTTGTTTTATTTATTCTTTAATTTTTATAAATAAAAAATACAAATTGGCGAATTTCTTGCTGGAGTAATTAAGACAATAAGAAAATGAAATTTATAAGAAAATAAACAAACCACCATCGTCAAAGCATCACAGAAACGGACACTTGGTCATGTAAACCTGGAATTAGTATCGTCAGAAACTATCAAATTCGAAAACACCGCCTTAACAGCGTAGACACGAAGCCATGGCGTCTATCATAGGTCCCAGTCATGGCCGGAAGGGCGCAGCAAAAAAGCATCTAGGCCACGGGATATGGAGGATGCAAAGTGAGTTGCCTTCCAGTGAGGCGCAACTAAAAAGATCAAAAACAAAACATCCCATACTCCACTACAATGCAATCCCTGTCTGCACTATCCTACACACTCATCGTAAAGTCGTGCTCAATGCTGGGTGTGACGCTGGCAATGAACTGTCGTGAAAGGTTAGACAAAGATTCCAAGAGAAGAGGCATCGCGTCAAACAGGGGCGCCGGTCTCTTACCTTTAAAAACACCACCAGGTATTGATCTACCCGGATGGCCACCTCGCCATCGTCTAGGTCGGCCTGCACCTCTTCCCACTCGTCCGATGAGCCGGCACCGCCCGACGGCGGTGCTGCATCCGGCTTGCCGCTGCTTCCGCCGCCACCAATGTCCAGGTTCTTTGTGCCGTCGACCAGGCCCTCGAGGCCGGACACGTTCCCGCCGCGCTGCCCCGCCAGCTTCTCGCGCCGGCGCTTCAGAGCACCGTCGGCCCGGTCGAGCAGCACCTTCATGACGGGCGCGTGCTTGCACGGGTGGACGCTGGCCATCTTGGTGCTGTGGGCGAAGAAGGGGAAGTCCTCGAGCGTGACTGTCTTGTCCTTGTAGTCGCCGACAATGTCGTCCATCATGAGGTGCGGCGGCAGCGGCTGGCCGTTGGGGAGGTAGCCCGACAGGTAGAGGCGTGGTGTCCGGTAGTACGGCGAGTACATAATGTACATGGTGTACGAGCGGTTGCCGCTGACCACATGTTAGCAGGAAAGCAGGGGACGTTGCACGGATACCAGGGGGGGAACCCAGGAAAGGAGGGGTACTTTGACAACTCACTTCTTGGGATCAGTCGGCTCCGGGATGATGGCCTCGTCGTCGTCTTCCTCCTCCATGTCGGGGATATCGTCGTCGTCGTCGTCATCAACGTCATCGAGCTGGTCCGACGAGGCAGCCGCGGCCTGTGACGACTTGCTCCACGCGTCGTCCTTTTGTGCATCACCACCGGCCCTGCTGCTGGCACCGCCACTGGCACCGCCGCCGCCGCCGGTCCGCAGCCAGCCATCCTCGTCATCGTCGACGTTGCCCTTGCCGCCGGCGCCGCTCCCCTCCACGACATCGTCGAACCCGCTGCCGGCCGCGCTCGCAAAGGTCTCGTCCAGTCGCCGGTGGCACGGCACGTTGCGCGTCACCAGAAACTGCTTGCCTGCCGGCAGGTGGGCCGAGCGGCGGCTGGCCGGTTCGGCATCGGCCCACGACCAGGTGGGGAACTTGTACACGAGGTAGTCACCGGCGGCCACAAACTCTTCGGGGGTGATCTCGCCGGTGTTGCGGAACGTCGATGTGTGCTTGGCGGGCGTGTAGCGGTCGCGCAGCGTGTTGACGGTGGAGTAGAGGATGTTCATCGTGGCGGTTGTCGGGGCGGCGTCGTGTGGATGGTTCGGTTTGGCCGCTCGTTCGTCAGTTCAAATGTCTGTGATAAGCGAGTTGCCGCCGCTATCGATGTCGCCCTGCTGTTGGAAGACTCGACCACTTGGAAAGACAGATCTCGCTTGTCGAGAAAGGTGCTAATAACGAGGATACTTGCTATAGTGGCGTCGAGTTTCTATTCAAACATGCGGAAAGGAGCACAGTTATGAAGCATCAAAAGAACAAGAAGCACGCAAAAGTCAAAAGACCAGGTGGCGATGTGGTCAAATAGACATTGAATGGCGGAAGACGGAGAAGAATGGAGAGGAGCAAGAGACAGACCGTGAATGACAACCCTCCAGGCAGACGGGGCGGTTTGTCGGCCTGACCAGGCTGCTGGTTTCAGAGCATTTCGCCCTCCAAAGAGGCGCGCGCACCCTGTCACATGGCGGGGTTCACGGGGCCGGACTGGCTAAGCTCGCCCCTAATTGCCTTACAACCCCACCTAGGCAGAGGAAACGGTGGTGAAGGCAGCTCCGATGGACCCACGCACGGCTCTTATCGGACGCCACGTGATCGGCCTGGCGCCTGGATAACGTCATAACGTCAACAAGGCGCGAACCCCGATGGCTTCACTCAGTGCAGTCGTCGATCACAACAATGTTCCATATTTGCCAAGGCTGCTCGGGTAAGTTTTCAGGTTGAATATATGTTTGTATAAAGGTCGTCACTCGTCTACTATATAAATGCTACCTAATGCCTACCTAATGCCCATGATGTATGCGCCGCGATGAAAACAAGAAAAGAAAAATGATAATGAGAAACAACAGTAAAAGGACCACGATCGTACCAAGGCAGTCAAAGGCTGCCACATTCCCTCCTTGAAACACAAAACGCATTGGATCTTGATGGGTATTATCATCCCTCCCCTCCCCAACCGCAACCATTATGAAGTCCGGGAACCGTCAGCTCCCGGTGCAGGAATCAAAATGCCCGCTCGCTAATTCCCAACAGATCGCACCGTCACAAAAAAAGAAGCAGAAAAGTTGGAGTAAAACAGCCCCGGAAAGCAAGGCCGCAAAGCAATGTCAACGAGAGACAGTCCCATGTAGGAAGCGATGTTGCTCGCTCGCTAGTATCACATCTGGTGCATCTCCTGGCACGGTGGCAAGTCGAGAGATCTGCAGTATTGCAGAAACTTTGGGTTGATCTTGTAGTAGCTGACCGTCGAGTCATGGTTGCAGCAGGGCGAGCGGCGGAACGGCAGCAGCCACCCGAACGGGTTGGCGCCCATGACCGACACCCAGTTGCCGCGCCAGCCCAAGTCCCAAACGTGCATGCCCTTGGGCACGGGCACAATGGCAAAGGAACGAAAGGCCAGCAGATCCCGGGCATCGAGAGCATCCCGGGCCTGGCGGCGCGCTGCACGGGCTTCGCGGTTGACCTTGAATGGGTCGGGCTCGTCGGTGGGTGCGGCAGCCGCCGTTTCAGTCGGGACCGCCGTGTTGGGAATCACCCCCCCGCCTGTTTGTGGGGAATGATACGTCAGTCCGTACCTGAGCAGCTCCGGGTCTTTGGGCAGAGGATACGTGACGACATTGTAGCGCCCGACGACCGGCGCCGAGCCCTGCCGGACACGGACCGCCATCATCTTGACCCTGTCTTTCAGTTGATGGCTTTCAACAGTCGTCAGGTTGCGCATCACGAAATTAAAGCACGTGAAAAACATGCCAAACGAAAACAGGCCGAGCACGGCGGCCAAGGCCAACGCTGCTATAGTGCGGCCGTCCGAGCCCAAGCCGCGTTTGTTTCGCTCCGACATGGCGGCTGCACAGGTGCCGACAGTCAGTGCGCAGAGAAGCGTTGCGTAGAACGTGAACTGGATGAAGAGTTTAAATGCTGCGGGCAAGGGTTAGCGGATGGGATATGTCGAAACAACGCAACACGCAAGAGGGCCGACACGTACTTGTCTCGGACACAATGCCGCCCACCCAGGGGCAGAAATGGTCCATCTTGAGGACGCAACGGCCGATTTCCGAGCAGTGGTGGGCGCGGTCCGGCTTCCACGTGCCGCAGGGGCTGCACCAAATGGGGCGGCCGTCCGCAGTACACTCAAACATATCTTTTGTATAGAACGTCTCGAGTCCGGGGCTGTCCGGATCAAGCCGGGGATCGCGGACGACTGGTGCATTGGTGTCCTCATAATTCGAACCAATACCACCATGCCGCTGCGTGTGGGCGCGGCCGGCCTCGATGTCAACGTTGTCATTGTCGCTGCCAAGAGCCGCCGTCTTGTTGGCCAGGCCGCTCCGCCTGCTGCCAGCGGCGCCCCGCTTGCCGCCGAAACTAGCACGGAGGTCGGCCCAGGCTGCAGCCATGTCGCCGCGGGCGCGTGGCCCTCCATACGAGGCCGAGGCCGCTTTGGCTTTGATGTTGTGGTAGTTGCGTGCCGATTCGGGACCCAACGCAACAACGCCAGGGTCGGTCTGAATTGTCGTAAAGAGGCGGATGTAGGTGAGCACCATCAGTGCGGCAATGACGGAGTAGGTGACGACAAGACCGATGGCGACGTCATGCTTTTCAAAAACGTTGTAGTATTGCTTCACTACAAGGGAATGCGCTGGGTTAGTGAACGCCATCATTCGCATGCGCACAGGAGGCAGCTCGGAAGAAACGGACTGAGAACATAGTCGGCAACCGCGTAGAGCACATAGGCAACGCTGAGGGTGAGGAAACCCGGAATGATCAGAGCCATGACGCGCACGGTCGGGTTAATACTGTGGACATGGCCGGAGCGACGGGCGCCACCGGCGCCTCGGGGGGCCGGCGCCATTATGCTCGGTGGGTTTCCGGTTGGCGGGTTTCTTGTCAATCCGTTTGCTGACTGTCGCTTCGGGTACTTCGCGGGCACGCGTGGGAAAGAAGCCGCCGAAAAGTCGCCGGCAACTTGAGATTGGCCAGGAAAGGAGATAGTCAAATACGAGAGGTTGAGCAAACAACAGCTAGCAGAGGTGACTCAAGGAGGGCGTTCGACTGTCGACCTTTGCGGCACACGGGCGAGGATCGCTTTCGGGGCCGAGGTGTAGCTATGCTGCGAGAACTGTCGCTGGTGTCTCGAGCGACAGCATCGTCGTCGTCGACGAGGACGAAAAGAAGAGGCAAGGTCGGACGCGTCGCTGCCCTCTTTTATCGAGATTTCGACGAGGGGGGTGGGTTGCGCCTGCCAGCTCTGCGAAAAAGTAGGCCGCAATGGGAAATGAGAAGTGCAAACGGAATTTGCGAAAGCGAGGAAACACGGGAAGGAGCAGGTGGTCTGGGCGGCTGCTTGACGGCGCGCGGCTGCCCAAGCAGCCAAGGTCTTCTGGTTTTCGTCACTGTGCGTCGCAAAAGCGGGTCATGCTGCCCCCAAGTGCGCTAGTCCCCAGTCTGGGCTTCATCCAAGAACACTCAGCAAGAGATGCACGATGTGATCTTAACGCATATGAAATCTACGGGGAGGCTATCTGATATACTTAATACGCATTTGGATGAGTGAACGACCAAGTATCTTGGTTAAGTCTAGAGGAGGGCCACTTGCCATCTTAGGACGCCGTCACGCGGCAAGGAATTCCGAGTCCTCGCTGCTCGAGTCGAGTTGCAACGAACGAGCTGAATCTCTCAAAAGTAATTACTCTGCAGTCCGTTTGGCATTGTGCAACAGTTGAGGCAGGAAATGGGATGAGATGGGTGCCTCCGAGTCTGGCTCATGGCCGTATGGTTGGTTGTCCTTCGAGCAAATGCATGCAGCGTCCCGAGCAAAGAGCAAACAGAAAGAAACACGAGCGTTTGCTGGGCATGAACGACATTCGCACGGTCACATAAAACAATTAAAATTTATTATAAGACAATTAAAAAGTAAAAAGAGAGATATACTTACAAAGCAAAATTCGTCGCACCGAATTCGTCGCACCGGAAAATGTAAGGGGGCATGTCGATGTGTTTGACAGTCGTAAACAAAAGGCTTGACGATGCACCGCAGCCCAGTCACCACGCTTTGCCACTCCCCAAACATAGCCACAGCACGATCGTGGGCATCAAAACTGATTCATGAGGCTCATTAGTCTCATGCGGCTCAATTTTAGTGAGCGAATGTGCACTTTCGGAAAAGCAACAATGATCAGTCGCCTTTGTAGCTCTTTGCATAATCGCCTCTGCTCTCGTTTCTTTCTCTTCTCACTCTTTCCGCCGCTTTGGAGCTTATTGCAGACCGCTTTTTTTGAGGAAGAAGAAGGCAAGAGAGAAGCCGAGCGAGACCAGGGAACGCGTCTTGTTTGTGCCTCTGATATGTGCCATAGAACGGGTAGATGCATTTTTGGCCCTATTCTGAACCGCAATCCTGCCCCTGCATAACTCAGGCAAAAAAAATCGATAGATGCAGCCTGCTTAACACTGTTTGCTCCTTTCGTGTTCAGTTAGTTCAGCAAAGGCCACGGAGGCCACTGCTTCTTTGGTACACGTGCTTAAAACCCTCTGCAGGCCACGGAGTTTGCAACAATTATGATAGATGACTACATGTCGCGGGTCACACGACAAAGTGGTTCGCAGAATGCATAGTACCTTGCTTGCTGGCTAGCATGTGGGACAACTTGTGCGTATTTATTGCTATTGCGGTCTGCCAGACGCGACATATATCCTCAGGCAATGACGCGCAGAAAGAACGGCATGAGTGTCTGAGCCTCAAAAGTGCAAATACACCAGTGGTTGGAGAAGACGAGAACAATGCTAAAGTGGAAAATGTGAGTAAATGAAAGAACTTCAGCGTACATTGGAGCCTTGGAGGGAAAGAAGGAAAGAATGAGTATTGTTTCCTTCGGCCTTGTTGTCTGTGCGCTCTCGGATACGTCACAAGGCGGTCGTCGACAAGGCGTCTTGACGGCAACGAGAAGGCGCTGGGAGGAAGTGGCCAAGATGTGCCAGACGCCTCCGGCTCCTGAATTCTTCAACCACTCACTTTTGCAGACCTTATTCAGCCTTGCTTTTCGTCTGGTAGGAACAACGTAGATTTTCCTTTCGTGACATGAAGAGCAGACTGAACGTCGAAAGCTTCTCTCTGCCTTGACAAGGCGACGAGAATTCGTCACAAGGCTTTGATGAGCGGCTTCGCCGGTCTAGCCGTCTGACATGAAGACGCCCCGTCGACGTGCCTTTCGACGGAACGAGCACGGCCAACATGAAGGCATGCTGGCCAGAGAGCATTTTGTGATAATTCTGGTCTTTTGATATCACAATGCAAACCAGCGAACCCGGTTCGCACCACCTGTTCGTCGTATATAAAAGTGGCATGGGAATATCTCGTCCCAAATCCAAAATCGTTGTGACGGCCAGACCTCAACAGCATTACTATTTCTTGCCTCCAGTTTCAGTTCTAAGCACACTCATCAGCCTCCTACGATTTCAAGCTCTAAACAAAACTACTCAACATCAAGCAAAAGTTGCCAGCGACATTGAAATCATGGTCGTCACAAAACTTCTCGAACTCGTCTCGTTTGCCAACTTCGTGTGGAAATGCGTGAGTGATCCCATTTTGTTCCAATATTATGGCCTCCCATTTGTATTTTGAGACTTTCATTTTGAGCTTCTAACACGTCTCCGCCCTTCTCAAGCACCGCTGTTGCAAGACTTGCAACCTCGCAGCCACCAATTCCTCTTGTCCCGAGTGTAGCCATGTTTGTTGCAGCCAGTGCGAGAAGGAGAATGTGGCTTAACATGGCACGGCAGCGTGTATTGTGACAGGATATGTGGTTCTGGAAAATATTGGGGCGAAATGAGGAGGCTGAGGTGTTTCAATTGTGTGTTTTTTATGGAGTTTTAAGTACTATAGCTTACATAGATGTCGGTGAAATTTATACATTAACACACCTTCCCTGGCTCTATTTGTGTGATTTTCAAATTAATATTTCAAACAAAAGCAAAAACATATTTGGAAATAAAAGTTAACAAACCAGTGTTTGCGTGAAATTGTTTAACATTACGTATGTTAATAAAACTATTTTACATGCCGGTTACAGCTCCAAGCATAATTCCGTCTTCAACAATAGTATAAAATAGACACCGTACTGATTTGGCTCGCGGTTATGCTGATGTCTGAGTTGTGATGAGATGTCGTTGTGATGAAACTCACGTGATAGCCATGACCTCGTAAGTCTGGGGATGACTGCCCCACTGTTGGGTAATATCTCGCTGGAGCTACCCCTCTAAAAGCCCCGCTAGAACGTCACCCAAAAGGCCGCGCCGAGCTCCGGCATATGCACTGCGCGGAAGCGATACGAGGGTCCCAGTCAGCGAGGAACGGCTCCAGCTGCTGTGTTTGGCGTCACCACATGGATCAACGGCAACGTCACTTACAGCTCTCGCCAACGTCACGGTCCACAACAGTGGCACAACTGCGGCACAGCAGCACAGCAGCTCGCGTTCTTATATCCTGACCGGCCCATTGACTCCTCAGACGCCTTCTGCATCAGCCTTGCTACCGCGCTCGTCGTCTCTCTCCAGGTTGTCTTGAAGCTCTCTCTCTCCTTTCCGTGACATCCTGTTGCCTCTCACCGGCTCTGTTCACCTCTTTTCTCCTTCTCTTCCGTCATGTCGGCACCGCGCCTCTTCATCATTCGCCATGGCGAGACCGAGTGGTCCCTCAACGGCCGTCACACAGGAACAAGCGATATTCCGTTGACGGCGAATGGGGAGAAACGGATTCGCGCGACCGGCCATGCCATGGTCGGCCGCGATCGTCTGATTGTTCCCAAGACCCTCGCACACATGTAGGCCCATTTACCCCCCTTTAGCTGTGCTGCCGTCTCCCCCCATCCCCCTTCGTCCTGTCTGCATTGCCCACTAACCACTTCTTTGCGGCCAGCTACGTCTCGCCCCGCAAGCGTGCACAGCGCACGTTTGAACTCCTCAACTTGGGCCTCAACGAACCCCTGCCATGGCAGCAGCACGGCGACGTCGACGAGGCGGACAGCAGCCGGGCGTGCAACGCGCGCGTGGAGGTGACCGAGGCGGTGCGCGAGTGGGACTATGGCGAGTACGAAGGCATCACGTCCAAGGAGATCCGGGCGCAGCGGGCGGCGCAGGGCATCGAGGGCCGGTGGGACATTTGGAAGGACGGTTGCCCCGGTGGCGAGTCGCCGGACGACATTACGGCACGACTGGACCGGCTGATTGCCGAGATTCGGGAAAAGTACCATGTGCCTGCCCTCGACGCAAAGAAGTCAAAGGACCCAAAGGACCCAAAGGACCCAACGAGTGACAAGAGAGAGGCGTCCGCACCAAAAGGCGACGTCCTGATTGTGGCCCACGGACACATTCTGCGGGCGCTGGCCCTGCGATGGGCGGGCGCCGCACTACAAGATGGGCCGACGTTCCTGCTCGAGGCCGGCGGCGTTGGCACGTTGAGGTGAGTGCAGTGTCTGAACGTGCTTCAGGAGACATGCTCGGAGGACTCCTACTGAAAATGTGTCCATTGCAGCTACGAGCACAACAGCATCGACGAGCCTGCGATTCTCCTTGGCGGCGCTTTCACGGTCGGCGATGACGAGCTGGAGAAGGCTTAGGGTGCCTCTTTAACGAACAAAATGGAGAGCAGGATAGACATCTGAAAATTGGACAGAGGTGGAAAGATGGCCATGAACACGGCTCGTCACCGAACACTACACGGAACACTGCACGATTGGACACTGTGGCCGAGCCTTGACGGCCAGCTTATACAAGACTATAGAATGCACTCCTCGCGAGACTCAAACGCTTTGGACATACACACTAGATCCTGAACTGAGATGCTCGGTCGCTAACAAA